GCAAAAGGACCCGGGATCTGGAGGCAGAGAGGGGGCTCGCTCTTTCCCCTATGTTTCCATCCACAAAAGGTTTCCATCCAGCCATCGTGCAGGACAGAAACACCGAGCACCCCAAATTTCAGGGCAAACAGAGTTGTGGCTTTTCCCAGCAGGAGATCATGGAAAAAAATCACTTCTGTTGCGTTGGGAAGCTGACCCAGAGCAGTGGGGACCCCCTGTGACTTTGGCTGGCCCGGCAGTGGCCCTTCTCCAATTCCAGCACAATCCTGACTTTTCTATGGGGATCAGAAGCCAAGCCTTCATTCTCCCTTCAATACTGCTGAGATCTACTTGATCCCAGATTCCCTGCCCTTCATGAGCTTTCACTGTTTTAGGTGCCACCCCGCAGAGAGGAAAGAGCTGGCTGGGGCCCTCTGTGTAAAGGGCTGCTCTTTTAACGGGCCACTTGCTTGGGCTCTGTCCCGTGACTCCCCCTCTCCACTCTTCCCTCTCCTGCAGATCCACAAGAAAGAGGCCCCCATCTGGCAACTCCCCTCCCCACAGAGAAGATCAGAAGGCCAGTTGGGGAGGGGGAGCGTTCTTTCCCTTGCTTTTCTTTGGCTCCCTTAGAAATGCAAATCAGGAATTGAATCACACATGTCATTTGCTGTCTGGGGGGAATTGATTCGGGTGCCCTGCTTTCCTACCAAATTGACAATGGACTTCCTGCCCATAATTACCTCTCCTAATGCATTGATGAATTTTCATGAAGGCGAAGGGGGGGAGGCGGGCAGAACCTGCAAGGGGCTCCCTTGCCGCCCTTCTTCGGCCTAGCACACCAAGGGCAGCACCTGCCTTGCAGGAATCCATGCCAGCAGGAATACGGCCTTCGGCCAAGAGTGACCGTATGGCTCCTCAGCTGTCACCACTGTGCCTTCCTCTGCTCAGGTGTGGGTGGACGCAGCTGCCCAGGTCTTCTTCTCTCTGGGGCCGGGATTCGGAGTCCTCCTTGCCTTGGCCAGTTACAACCCGTTCAACAACAACTGTTACCGGTGAGGGTTCGAGGCCGATCAGCTTCCATTTCTCCTCTTAATTGCCCTGTTGGGTGGCTGCACATCTGGATGCCTGATGCTGGTTGAGGGTCAGCCTAACCAGGCTTTCCAGTGTGCCAAGGCACCGCTTCGCCCCTGTGCCAGGTAGGAGCCCCCCGTTGCTGGGTTGGAAGCAAAGGGCCTTGTGCGGCTGCCAAAGAGAGCAGCGAGCGGATCCCAAGGGGAGCAACCGAGTGGATCCTGGCTATCAGCCTGCTGCCTTTTTTCTCTCGGAGGCTGGCACAATATTCTTCTTCTGGCACATCTGTCGGGTTCATGGCTCTGTCGCTCCTTTCCAGAGATGCCATCGTGACCAGCCTGGTCAACTGCTTCACCAGTTTCCTCTCGGGATTTGTCATTTTCACTGTCCTGGGCTATATGGCCGAAATGCGGCACATGGACGTTGCGGACGTAGCAAAGGACAAAGGTGTGTGGTCACCTCTTGTGGGCTTCAGCCTTTTCCCCCTACGGGGCCACAGGAGACTACAACAGCTTCCTCCACTGGGGAGGACCAAGAGGTGCTGGAGTCCCTGGGCTGAGCAGGCAGCACTTCCCCCCCCCTCTCACACACACACAGTGAGCCCCCTTTCCCTAATGCTGTTGCTCTAAGAGGCTTGCCAGAGATTAACTAAACCAGACTTCACTGAATTAACTCTGGGTTCAAGGAACAGGGCACCCTCGACTGCAAGGGTGCTGGCTCCCTGCTTTGGAGAAAGCCAACCATGTAACTCCATCATGTTACTGCCAGAGGTTCTGCTTGGCCCCCACCTACCCAAGAGTTACTTTGGGGGTGATGGAAGGCCACGGAGAGCTCTCGAGTGCCATGCTCTGGCTTAGCCTCCCTCTGGCCCATCGGCCACGTGCAGAATTAAGGCTGCTTCTGGTGCCATCCCAAGGGTCTCTTCCAGGGCCCAGCCTCCTCTTCATTACTTACCCGGAAGCCCTTGCCAACATGACCGGATCTTCCTTCTTCGCCATCCTCTTCTTCCTCATGATGGTCACGCTGGGATTGGACAGCACGGTAAGGCCAGTTTCATTTTGCATTGGGAGGACGGGAGACCCTCTCGGCTGCTGCCCTGCAAGTGGGTCAGGCTCCACGTTACGTGCTGTGTGAAAGCTGCTTCCTTATATACCTTACTTTGGTCTTAAAAAAGAAGACACAGGTGGAAATATTTCCAAGGCAGAGACTGTGGGAAAAACCTCCCAATTTGTTTTCCAAGTGATCTGCTGTGAGAGTTTAAGCCTGTCCATAAGCTTTCCCAAGGGCAGAATTGCTCTGAAGTGGACGGAGCAGCCCCTCCCCAACAGCCTCCAGGGCTCAGCCTCTGCCTCAGACTGGGTTCTCCTGGGGGGCGTTTGCAGTTCGGGGGCCTGGAAGCCGTGATCACTGCCCTGATGGACGAGTATCCCCAAGTGCTGGGCGAGCACCGTCAGCTGTTCGTGCTGGGACTCATCACCCTCTGCTTCCTGGGCTCCCTGGCCACGCTGACCAATGTGAGTTATGGCGACAGCGGGCATTCCTTGACCCCTTGATCTCAGGGCCAGGCAGCACCTCTCTGGCTAATGCAGAAGAAAGGCCAGCTGGGATATTGGAGGCAGGCAGAGGATGGCTAACAACTCTTTACTTGTCTATATTTGCAAGGAAGAGACCGTCTTGTTGAATATTTGCCCCACAAGGTAGAGAGTTTATTTTGCTCCTGTGATGGGGGGAGGACCAAAGCAAGCTGGAAGCCCCCAAGTGAGCTAATTGTGGGACTTCTTCCTACTGGAACCCACCCCAAAAGGCCACCCCCTGCAGTGTGGTATCATCCACCTTCAAGGGCTGCTCCCAACCCAGCTCTTCTGGGGGCTTGCAGCCTATCAGAGCCTCCCCCCCTCCAGGTTCACAGCAGGCTCTTTCTTGGTGTTCCAATCCAGGGAGGCCCCTACATTGTGAAACTCCTGGAAGAGTTTGGGGCTGGTTGCTCCATCTTAGCTGTGGTGTTCCTGGAAGCCATTGCCGTCTCCTGGTTCTACGGTGAGGAAGAAAGAGGCTTTGTGGCCCCTTGGTGGGGGGGAGCGGAGGGGAAGAGAGCCTCTGTAAGACTTTCGTTGCCGCCTTCTGAGGCCAGCTTGATGCAGCTTGGTAGAGTGACCGTCCCTTTATGGGTCTCCTTCAGGGAATTTCCCCCCATCATCTCTGAAAATCTTCCTGCGCCCTTCTGACTTTGGAATCAGTATCCCCTTTTGCTCTGAGTATTTCTCCCCCGGACCGTCCAGGGAGAGGGCCCAGCTCCTCAAAGGTCCCTCAGGTAGACTGAAACGTTTGGGCTTTGAGTGGTGAACGGCTTGGACTTCCTTCCTAGGAATGCAGCAGTTCTGCAGCGACGTGAAGGCCATGCTGGGCTTTGGGCCAGGGCTGTACTGGCAAGTGTGCTGGAGAGTGGTCAGTCCGGCCACCTTAGCGGTGCGTAACAGATCCTTCCCCCATCACTGTTTCTTATGTCACCGATTGAGGTTGAAATGGACACAACGGGGGCATTCGCTATCCCCCCCAAAGCTTTTGAGTGAACATCCCCAAAAATGGGGGATACTGCCGAGGAAGATGGGGATGAGTGGGGGAGCAGGAGGAAAGGAAGGCCTGCTTATGGATAAGCCATAAATTAGAAAGAAAAACGTGACCCTAAAGGAGTATTCTGTTAAGAAGGTCTGCTGAGCTTGCCCTGCCAGGCTCTAGAGATCTCCGATTCCTATCTTGCCCCTTTTCAACAACACCAGTGTTCAGAGGACCCATATTTGTGGGTCACAGCCCTCTTGGGGAGCCAACTGGGGCATTTCCAGGAGAAAGGGGTACAGATGCTCCAGCTCGTAAATGGAGACATTACATTTGCTGTGCTTGTCAAATGTATCCTTAGCCCTCTCCAGGGCAACAGCCCTTCGGTTACTGTCCGGTACAAGTGTCCCCTTGGGGTGGAAGGGAAGAATTTTATGGTGGGGCGGGGGGCTTTTAAAGCAGAGAAGATGGGGAGGGGGCAGTGGGGCGGCTGGGCATTCTGCTGGACCTGACTTCATCCTTTTCCTTGGTTCCTGCCCAGTTCATTCTCATCAGCTCCCTCCTGGACCAGCCCCCCCTCGTGCTCTTTGACTACGAGTATCCTGTGTGGAGCATCAGGCTGGGACACCTGATTGGGGTCTCCTCCTTCCTCTGCATTCCCATCTACATGGTCTACAAGCTGGTCTGGACCCCCGGATCTCTGAAGCAGGTCAGGGAAATGGGATCCTAACAACTTCATCCGGCAAGGGGGGGGATGTTTTCCCAGTCAATTCTCTAACACTCGCCCCCACCTCTCTCTCTCCTTGCCCCCTTCCAGCGCCTTGCCCTGTGTCTTCGGCCAGAGAAGATTGCCCGGGAGCTGACCCTCGAGATGGTGGACGTGCCAGCCCCCCTTTAATTCTTGGAGAGCTACCCCCAAAACACAGGCTGTTCTTTGCTGAGCACCCCAAAAGAACACCTGGTTCCAGGCAACCTCCAAGCACAGCTGTATGGGCTGACCCCTCCCAAGTCAACTCTCCAGCAGCCCCTTTTCCTGGAATTGCTGGCTCCCTCCCCCACCCCTCCTCCAGGTTTCTTCTGCACAGCAGGGCTTTTGATCCTGGGTGCGGAGGCTCCGAAGGCCTCAGCCTTCCGACTGTTGTGGGGAGGGGGACCAATTCGCTCGCGGCCTCTGCTCCGAAGGCGTTTCTGGCGGGGCTGCCTCTTTCCCAGAAGGGCTCCGAGACCAGCCAGCGAGCCGTCCCGACTCCTGCTTCTCTCCAGGCGCCCCAAAACGAGCGGCGAGGAAACCGTGTCTTTGCTGGGTTGGGTCACCCTGCTCGCTTCTCACCCCTCCCCCCGCCGTTTCCCCCACGGAAGCCCGGGATGAGCCCAATAAAAATGCCGTCCGCCTAATAATGCATCACGCTAAGGACTCACGAAGTCCTTCCCCCCCCAAGGCTGCGGCCACGAGGCTCGGCTGCACGGCGTCGGCCGGCGGCTTGTGGGGGGAGGGGGACCTCGTGGCAGCCCCGCCCATTCCGTGCGGGGGAGGGCGCTCTGCACATGTTCAGAGGCCCTTGGACCGGGATTGCGAGCGCCTCTCTTGGCCCTGCGCTGTCGCGAGGATGCCGCGGAGCCGCCGCGGATCCGCCTTGCTGGCGCTGCTGCTGCTGCTGCTGCTGCCGCTCGCGGTGGCGCTGGGCGAGGCCGGGGAAGCGGCGGCGAGCGGGCAGCAGCGTCCCTTCGCCGTCCTCCGGAGACAGAACCTGGGTAAGGAGGGCTGGGTGGGACGGCCGGTCCCGGGGTTGCCGGAGCTCCCCTCGCTCCTTCCCTGCCCGGCGGCTCTCCCCTCGCCCTGCTCCTCCGCGGCCTCGGCTGCCCGTGGGGGTCTCGGGAGCTTCCCCGTTCGGGCCGCGCCTATTGCCGGCGCCTGCCCTGCCCGCTGACCCGGCCCCCTTTTCTCCCGGCAGCTCTGCTGGGCAGCGTCTTCGGCCTCCTGGTGCTCGCCGCCGTCCTGCTGGCCGTCTGCGTCTATCGGCCGCTTCGCCGCAGGTAGCTGGGAGTGCGACCGCCGCCTGCTCTGTCCGCCCCGACCCCGGCTTTCTCTCGACCTGACCTGCCGCTGCCGCGCTCCTCCCGGTGGGCTGGACGAGATGCCCCCCCCCGCCGCCGCCGATTTGGCCGGCTGAACCTCCTTAACCGAACTAAGGACTACCCCGCATGCAGGTCTTGGTCCCGCGCCGCCAGCTGCTCTTGGTCAGATGCACAATGGACCGCCGAGGGTTGCCGCTCGACCCTGATGGACGCCTGAGGCCGGGAAGAGCCCCGTTCTCGGCCAGAGCCCACAATCTGGACAGGGGAGCATTTTATGGGCTGCCACAGAAAGTCATCCTCTCTTCAGCTGTCCAATTGCCAAGCGCCCCCCCCCCGCCCCTTTTCCCAGGAGCCTAATGGGGATCTCTCACTGGAGGGGGGTCTAGCAGGCAGAAGATGCACCGGGAAAGCAGCACCCAAAGGCACGCCCTCTAATTTGCCCTTGTGACTGCTGGCATTTCTTACGTGATTCTATGCTTCTTGTTTTCAAGCCATAAAGGGTTTTTCCTGATGTGTATCAGCTACTTTGGGGTAGGTAATAAAACAACGGTCAGTGTGATTTTGCTTAGCTGATCTCCATCTTATCTTGGGGCGATTCCTGTGGGAACCTGGCCATATCTCAGCCAGCAGGACCACCAAAACAATGTGCGAGTGCATAATTTTTGCTCTCGGGAACAAATTACGCCGTCCTAAAATTGCAGCTTGACCAAATCCGTTCCAATCTTCTTTGCAGTTTCCCTTTACTTAGAGAACTGCAGAGGCTCTTTGGAATCAGCCTCCTTTCAACACTTCCCAAAGAGAACTTCTTTAGCCTAAAGAGCGCCCCGCTCACCTCTTTTTCAGGCAAGGAACTCGGCCAGGACAGGAGTTGACCCCACTTTATTTAAAAACACAAACCCCCCAGATTTGCTAGGAGGGGCACGAGAGGGAGTGGCTTGGGAAGGCTACAGAGACACGAAGAAGCAGCCGGAGGAGTCCGAAGGAAAAGGCAAAGCACTCTGGTGTAGGCAGGCGGTGGGCGAGGCACGCGGGCCATAAGACACCTGGCGGCGGCTGAAATCTTTGGTAGGAGAGGAGCTGACTCCGAGGAAGCCCCTCCCTCGGCTCAGGTTGTTACCCACCGCCGCCCCCTATTTGAGGCTGGAGAGAGTCCGCCACCCCCTTCAGACAGGCTTTGGCAAAGGAAGCCGGGGTGTCCCCTTCGGCACAACTGCCGAGCGCAGAGGAAGATGGCAGATCTTTGGGCTCAAAGCTTTGGCGAGTGAGCGATAGAGCCCCCTCCCTCCCTGACGAAGAGGGCCTGGCCTGGCCTCCCCATCCAGTGCCCAGGCCGAGATCTGGCGCTTGCTTCCTGCAGGCGTCATCCCACTACTTTTCCAGCAGGGAGCGCTGGAGAGCCTCCTTCAGCTCCTCCTCCTCTTCCTCCTGCCTCCGCTGCTCCTGTTCTTGCTGCTCCTGAAGGGAGAGCGCCATGGCCAGCTGCAACTCCTGGTCGAAGGTGGAAGACCCTCGCAGGGGTGGGTTGTTCCCACCACTTGCCAGGAGGCTCTCCTGCAGGGCCCTGTGCGGGAGAGAGAAGCGCTTTCTGACCAGCGGGATAGGATGCCCCAGGGGTCTGCCAGAGCAGGGGGCTCCAAACCTGGCAACTTTTAAGACTTGGGGGAGGGTCTCCTGGCAGAGGATGAAAACGATGGACAGACCAGGCAGCTGCCAAGAGGCACTAACAGCAGGGGGAAGAGGGCAAGCTAGAGCCAGGAGGGCTTGTTCTGCCAGGAGACGGGCCTTGGCACCACTCCTGCCCACCAGTCTGCGGTGCCTTCGCTGGCCTAGGTGCACCCCTGGGGAACCGTGAGGAAGAACCCCAGGTTGCTGGCATCCTTCTCGGCCTTACCTTTGATAGTGGAGGTGGAGGTCCTGGGAGTAGGAGACGTCCCCATTCAAGGGTGGCCCCAAAGGCTCCTGGAAAGATACAGAGGTGACAGGGAGCTCCTCCTCTCACTCTCCCTGCAGCTTCAAATGCGGAGGGTGCTTTGATCCCCTGCGGGTCGCCTTCAGAGCAGCTAAGTACAATCCCTAAACGTGCCTGCGGTCTTTGCTTTGAATGTAAAGCCCAACGCGGGTGCCTCGGTCCAATGGCAAGACCAAAGGGCAGCCTGGTGGGCCACACCCTTGACCCCGCGGAGGACAGGGACCAAAACTCACCTGGTTGTGGCCAGACTCCATCAGGCTCTGCTGGATGGCAAACTGCATGATTTCATTGTCTTCGTCCTGCACATGCAAGTTCCGGCCATCGTCTTGGACCCGGTAGGATTTGGGGATCTCGAAGACAGAGGGGTCCACCACAAAGGGGGAGGCCGGAGCAGCTGGAGGGAGGAGGGGTCTGATCAGGACAACTGCCAACATGTTTGGGAATCCGAACAGGCTGTAGCTGTCATTGCCCTCCTTGCCCGAAAGCTACAGACCGCTCTCCCAGCCCAGCCCAGCCCCCAGAGCGACTCCCTCACCAGCGGTCCCCTGGGGGCCTTCGGGGCCCTGGGTTGAAGCCTCTTCCAGGGTGCTGCAGCTGTTTACGCATCCAAAGGTAATCCTAGCGTTCAGGATGTGGAACAAGGGGATTTCTGTGGGGAGGAGAAATGAAGAACTGAGGAGCGGGGCCCCCAGGCATCTTGGCCACCGTGTTGGCTTTGTGATGCGTTCCGGATCAGAAGCTCAGCAGAGCCAGAAGGCCATACCGATTTTAACCGGAAACCCAGGAGGGAAGTCCAAGGTGATGAAGTCCTTCAGTCGAGCAAAGTGGGCACTGGTCCTGGCCATCAGGTCCACAATGGGGGAGACCTGCTCCACAAGGGAGAGCGGGAACTCTTCGGACATCCACAGGTTGGCTTTAAATCTGGGCAAGGAAGGCAGGATGGTGGCATGGGTGGGGGCACAATCCTCGGGGCGCCTTTGTTCCCTTGGGACCTATTTCTAAGGGCCTCCCCCACCCCAAGCCAGAGATGGTGTGGGAGATTTTTGAAAGAGCTGCTCGCTTGCAAATATGGAAAGAGAAACAGGAGCCACCCCACCCCCCCTTTCAAGATGCTCCCAATTGATGAGCGGGTGATGCCTCTTCCTGGGGGAGCAAAGCAGGGGGGGGGGCTATGCAGGTTAGGGGGCAAACCACAAAGAGAACCAATGGTTTTACTTCTGAGTCCGAATAGTCACTTCTTTGGGCCTGCCAATATCTCTGTCCTTCAAGTCAAACTGGGGTTCGAAGTATTCCTCCGGCATGAGAGCTGTTGGGTTGTTGGTCGAGGCAAATTCTGTCGTCAGGTCCTGGGGAAAGGGCGACGTGAGTGTCCTCAGGGGCGGCTCCCTCCCCGGAAGGCCCAACCCGGCCTCTGGCTGAGAGCAATGGCAGGGCTCAGAGGGCAGATCCAGAAGGCTCACCTGCTGGGCTCCGTATTCGTGCTCAATGGTGCCCAAGAAGGACTCCAGGGGGTTTCGGTCAGCTAGGAGAAAGGGAGAGGGGCCAGTAAGCTCCAAGCTGCTCCCCTCCCCCCAAGACCCCCTCAGTTACTCTCAGCAAGGCAGCCACCTTTGTATCTTCTCTTCTCCTCCTCAGTCAAGTGCTCCGTCCGGATTCTGGTCACCACGTTCACGTTGTTGGCCGTGAAGACCTGGAGAAAGGAGCAAGAATTAGGGAAGCCGGACAGCCTGCTGGCAGTCCTCCCTGGAGGAGAGGAACAAAAGAAGACCGTGAGGTGAGCAGCCGGCCGGGGAAAGGAGACACCGGTGCATGACTCGAGGTGGCTTCTCACCTTGGCTTCATAGTCATTCACCACTTCGCTCCTCTCTGTTTTCCAGACCCAGAAGCCAGAGGTATCTCTGCAAGGCAAACATCCGTTTCCAGGCCTCTGAGCTTCTGGACAGAAACGACTCAATGCTCCCCAAGCTCCCTTATCCCTTGCAGGGAGAAAGGCGGGCACCTCTTGGGGGCTGGGGCTGGTCCCCCCCGCCAATCCAGGGTCACGGTACAGGAGAATAACAGGAGGCAGAGCAAGGGCTCCTGCCTCTCCTACCTTTCAAAGGCGATGTTCCTGGTGTCCAGGGAGGTGCTGAGGATGGGAGAGGTCAGCCGTCGCTCCACCTCCTTGTTCTTTGGGACCATGGAGTCCAGGGTCAGCCGCTTGATCTGCTGCGTGATCTCAAAGCGTTCGGCCGCCACCACTTTGTCATCGTGGTTAACCTCAATCAGCTCAGCCCAGTGCCCGGTATCTGGAAAGCCAAGTGGGAAGGGCTGGTAAAGGGGGTTAGGGTCCCTTCCCCCCTCCCCCCATGGAGCTCTGGCACTGCTCACCTTCCCCTCTGAAAATCAGGCTGCGCCTCCCTCGCTCCCAGCTCATGTTTTCAAAGCCCAGCAAGGTGATATCCACGCGCAGCTTTGCGCCACTCTTCCAGATGCGGCAGACGTCACTGGGGCACACTCGGGACACCAGCGGGACTGTGGGGAGATGCAGGGAGGGCAGAAGAGCTAAAAGATGCGCGTGGGTCACAGGAATCAACACAATTCACAAAATGAATACCGGTTTCCCAGGCTGAGAGGGATAGCATGAACGCGGGTCCAAGAGGACGAATAAACCTCAAAAAGCGGCAACTTGATTCAGACTTACCCCAGCTGGTGAATTCCCACTTCATTTCCACATAAAAATCGGGAGTCTATGGGGGGAAATGAGACAAGAATGAAAGGGGAATGAGGAGGAAGAAGCATGATTCAGCTTCCAGTGAACCCTACAATTTGAGCCTGTGGCATTAAGAGACAAGAACTCCGTACCTCACATTTATAGAACCTTAGAGAAGGGAAACATTGTTCAGCTGATGGTGCAAATCTAAACACATGTACTCAGAAATAGCACAATGGCGGACTCTTGGCTAGGTGAAAGCTTTACGGGCTTTCAGGGGGATTAAATCACCCTAGCAAAAAAGGGCAATCCGTGTTTAGGCCGCTTTAGAACATGGAGGCTACCGGAAGGCCCAAAGGGTTTTCACCCAGATTGTTTATTCTTTCCTGCTCCTCAATCTACCTCACTGATCTTCTGAAGCAATTCAGGGACACCCCCAAGGGTTGTGGACGTCTGCTGGTAGTCACGGTGTTGAAGGACCATGTGGACTATTTCCGGATCGCCGGTGCTGATGGCCTCGTGCAAGACTGGCAGAAAGAAAAACCGAGCTAAGTCTGCAGGGGAGACAATCTATAGGAGATCAGCTTTAGGCCCTACGGAGATGCAGCATTTAGCTCTGGTCTTCAACACCTCCATTTCCCCGCCACCTGCTCCGATTCCTCCTCTGGGGGGGGCAGGGGGCTCACCTGTCCATCCCTGGGCGTTCTCCTTCGTGACATCCGCCTTGTGCCGCAACAGGACGCGGACAGATTCCACGTAGCCCAAGGAGACGGCCAGGTGCAACAGGCTTCGCCCGCGGGGATCCTGCTGCTCAACATCCTGGGAAAAGAAGAGGGAGGAGAGTTCTTCTGAGGACCCCCAGAGCCCCCCAGGGACACTGACAGGATTGTGATCCTTTTGCAGACACACCATGGAACCTACGGAAGCAGCTCCAGCCCTGCGACAGCGGCGTTGCTTCGCTCCGACACACAGACAGGCAAGCTCAGAAATGAGGCAGCGTCCCTGGAGACCCCTCCTCGCTTTCCTTCCCTCCGCCAAGAGAAGCCCCTTCTCCCCCCGGGGGGGGGCTGCCGAGTGGGGTGGGCTACTCTTCCTAACCAGACTGGGGAGAATTTGGGGAGGGGGAAAAGGAGAAGCCACTTTTCAGAGGGGGGGACCTGCTGATGGGAGGGGGGGTCTCCTCTTCCTCCTGATCCTAGCCAGGCCTGGGGGGATTTGGGGAGGGGGAAAGGCGGCTCCTCCCCAGCCGGACCTTCCGCCTCCGGACCCAGCAGGTGCCAACCAAGGGGGAGCCTGCTGGGGAGGGGGCGGCCAGGGCCGGAGTGGGGGAGGGTCTCGCTCGCCCCCCCGGCCGCCTCTCCTGGCCGACCCTGGGGGGGGGGCGCTGGGCGGGGCTGATGGGTGTGGTCGGATGGGATGCGCACAGAGACAATGAGCGTCCGGACGGCACGGATGCGAGCGCGGCCGGCATGCGAGGCCCGCGCCCCTTACCTCCGCCTCCGGCCACGCGGGGGGCGAGCTGAAAGAGAAGAGCACCTGCGGCTGAGCCCCGGCGCCCGCGGCAGTCTACCTGAGCGCCGCCCCCGCCTCCCCCCGCGCTACCTGGCCCTGCAGGGCGGCCTCCAGCTGCCGGAAGTCGTTCCGCCAGACCAGCCGGTGCAGCGGGAACCGGGCGGCGGCGCTCATGCTGCGGCCCCGACTCCTACGCCGCCCGGCCCGCCATGGCCCGGCCGGCTGAGCACCGACCCGCCTGCTGCCCTCCGCCCGGCCACGCCGCCGCCGCCGCCGCCGCCGCCCTCTCCACCGCCGCCGCCGCCGGGCCCGGAAGGAGAGAGCTCCGCCCTGCGGCGCCGCGGCTCGGCGCTGACCGTGACGCCCGGCGGGCCATCTTGGGTCAGGGCAGCGGCCGCCCCGCTCCGTGCGCGGCCGCCATGTCGATCAAGGGCGCCGTCGGCCCCCGCGCCCCCCGCGGGCCAATCGGGAGAGGCCGCCGTGGCTCCGCCCACTCGCGGCCATGTTGAGCGAGGGCAGCCCTCAGAAGCGGGTCCTGAGGAGATCCGGCGAAGGGGCGTTTCTTTGTGGGAAAAGGGAGCGCGGCGCCTTCTGGTTTTAAGGGGGAGTTGAGGCTTAAAGTGCGGCCAATTTCTCCCACCGCTCTTTCCGGCGGCCTTTGTCGCTTCCGTTCTAAAGGGGCGCAGGGAGAAGCGGCGGTTCTGCCCGTCCTAGAGATGGCCGCTCCTGCCTCCCTTCGCCCGGCGTCGGCATGGCGTCCGCAGCGTCCCGCCCCTCCCCCCGCGCGACGTACGGAAGCGTCTTGGCGAATGGCGCCGCAGCGAGGAGCGCCGGCGGCGTGCGCGTGCGCGGCCAGGCTGCTCGGTGACTGGCGGGCGGAGGGCGACCTGCGAGCGGCGGAGACCCCGGCCCTCCCTGCCCGCCATGGCCAAGCGGCTGCGGAGCAGCGACGTCTGCGCGGATTGCAGCGCCGCGGGTAGGCCCCGGGGGGGGGAGCGGGAAGAGGAGCCCCGCCCGCGGCCCATGAAGGGGACCGCGGCCTCTGAGCTTGTGCAGAGCGCCCCGAGGCCGACACGGGGGGCGGGGCCTCTCGGGGGCGCCCTCCCTCTCTCGGGGGCGCCGGGCGGGGTCTTTGGGGCGGGGCGCCCCCCTCCGGCCCGGCCCAGCCAAGGGGGAGGGGCGTCCCTAGCGGGGGGGGAGGGAGACCCCCTTGGCGCCCCCTCCCCTCCCTCCCTCCCCCCCGGGGGGGTCCCCGCGCGGCCTCTGGGGGCTGGTGGGGCTGCCGCCGACGCTCTTCCGGCTTCTCCCCCGCAGAGCCGAGCTGGGCCTCCGTCAACCGCGGCGTCCTGCTGTGCGATGAGTGCTGCAGCGTCCACCGCAGCCTCGGCCGCCACATCTCCCAGGTGCGGCACCTGAAGCACACGCCCTGGCCCGCCACGCTGCTGCAGGTACCGCCGGGGAGGGCGGGGGACGGGGAAGCCCTGGCCGCTTCTTGAGAGGGCTGGGCTCGCCAGAGGTGAAACTCCCCCCCCCTCCGTCCTGGCTGGGGAATTCGGGGAGTCGAAGCCCACCCCCCACTTTCAGGTCAGCCAGAGATTGAGAAATGGGGCTTGGGAGGAAGGTTTACGGTATCTCTGTGCCGAAGCTGGCAATGCTCCCTTCCTGCTGGAAGCCCTTTTATCCTCGGTCTCGGGCATTGATTGCAATTAGCAACAGGAGCTTCTGGTGGCTAAAGGTTTTCTGGGCATGGCGCAAAACAACCGATGATGAAGTAATGTATTGTGATCGGTTTTATGTTGCAATGGAAAAGGAAAGGCCTTTAAGCAACAAGCTCGGTTTGTTTAAACTGACAGGTAAATGTTCAGGTTAAGGTTGCAGGGGCTGGCAAAAGGAAACATGCTTTAGGACGGGTTTTAAATGTCAAGCGATGCTATTCTGATGACTGTGATTCAGAGAAAGTCCCGAACGTGACTTCCTCCTGGCACGGAGGATGAGAAGAGGCAGCTCCAGGGCTTCGGCTTCTGTTTTGCAGATGGTGGAAACCTTATACAATAATGGCGCTAATTCCATCTGGGAGCATTCGCTGCTGGACCCGGCCTCGGTCATGAGCGGACGGCGCAAAGCAAACCCTCAGGACAAAGTGCAGTAAGTGGAGCAAGCAGGGGTGGCATGAACCATAATCAGTGCAGCAACAGCAACAACAGATGCCAGGAGACGATTTCCTGCTCACTGAACATCCAGCAGCCTCTTCGTATCTTCACCGACTCGGGAATAGCTAGCTTGGCCTCAATTGCTTAACCTTTTAAACACACACACACACACACACACACACACACACACACGCACCCTGTGAAGCAATTTTTGGGGATATGCCCATTCTTGCCTTTTGTGACTGGTTTGAAGTTGAGTCTCCATGTAGTGAGAAACTCAGGGTTGCCATCCCACCCACCCATCCAAATCGGGATCCTCTGGAAATAAACATACTGCGGATGAAGAGCTTGGCCGGATTGTTCCTGGCTCGGTCACAGCCCGACCAGTTGATCTTTCGTGATTGTCCATTTCTGCCTCCCCCGTGTGCTGCCCCCTCCTTTGCCTCTCGGGTCCTTTGCAGGAGAGACTCTCGGCCTTCCCGGGGCTCCTGTGTTGCAGCCTTTTCCTCTTTCGTGTCCTGCAGCCCCAACAAGGCGGAATTCATTCGGGCAAAATATCAGATGCTGGCCTTCGTTCATCGCTTGCCGTGCCGGGACGACGACAGTGTGACCGCCAAAGACCTCAGCAAGGTAGGTTCACCCCTGGGCAGGTGGCGGGAGGACCCGAAGCCTCCGGCTCTTCCAGGCGCCCTCGTGCGTGGCTCCAACTGATTGGTGAAGCATTAGGCTTAGGGTTAGATGGTCCTGAGGCCTCTCCTGCCTTTGCTTCCAGCAACTCCACTCCAGCGTCAGGACGGGCAACCTGGAGACCTGCTTGAGGCTTCTCTCGCTGGGAGCGCAGGCCAACTTCTTCCACCCGGTGAGAGAACGAACGGCGGCGGGTCTTTCTGTAGCCCCAAATGGATACGGAGTGGAGGACTTGCAGCTGAGCCAGCCTCTCTTGGCCCTTCTGTAGGAGAAAGGGAACACCCCGCTTCACGTTGCGGCCAAAACGGGGCAGATTTTGCAAGCTGAGTTGTTGGCTGTGTATGGAGCTGATCCTGGCACCCCAGACTCCTGCGGGAAGACGCCAGTGGATTATGCAAGGTGAGCCCTCTTTTGCCAGGGGACGGGCTGGTTTGGTAGCCACAGCCCAAAGGTCAGGTGGGGGCTCTTCTGGCCGCCTTGGGATGAAGAGAGGAGCTCCCTTGGGAAGAACTGCAGAAGGGGGTCCAATTAAGAGCGGAACAGGGCAGCACCCCACCCCACCCCCTTCGTTGTCCCCTAGGAGCCCCAGGGAAGTCTAAGTGCCCCTCTGCCCCCTTTTCCCATTAGGCAAGGAGGCCACCATGAGCTGGCCGAGCGCCTGGTGGAAATACAGTATGAGCTCACTGACCGGCTGGCTTTCTATCTCTGTGGCAGAAAACCAGGTAACTGGAAGTTCTGGGTGGGCAGAATCCCGGTTTTCCTCTCCGCTTGAATGGGCCACTCCGCTGCCCCTTTTCTCTGCCCCTCAGTCCAGGTGGGCAGCTTCAGAGAAGGCCGCCTGCTTCCCTGCCCTGATGCTCTTTTGAAATGTTCTTTTCAGATCACAAAGGCAGGCAGCATTTCATTATACCTCAGATGGCAGACAGGTAAGAAACAAGGCCACATGGGGGGGGGGAGAGGCCCATGGAGGCTCCTATCCTTCAATCCTGGGAGGGGACTTGAGGACAAAGCAGTTGAAAAGCAGGATGTGAAGTTCCAGAAAGACGGAGCAAGCGTACCTGGCGTCTTCTCCGCATCCTCACCTGCTTCCTCAGAGGTTACTCTGCCTAGCTGTGGTCTTCCAGGGAAAGGGGGCTCCACTTCTGAAGGGCTCTTTGTTCTCATAGCAGCTTAGATGTTTCGGCATTGGCCAAAGCAGCCAAGAAGAAGCTCCAGTTGGTGAGTCTGCGCCTTTCTCTGCTTTGGCCTCTAAGGTGGGCAGGAAAGGCCACTTTTTAAAGGAGGGGCTGCCTTCCCCAGCTCCCCTCCACCCCTGAAACCCGCAACCCACCTTCGGCCCTGGGAAAGGAAGGCATTCGGAACCGCAGCTCTTCTGGCCCCCAGACATTTCCCAGTGGAGGGGCAGCAGCTTCCCATTGAAGTCCCCAGCTGATGACCGCAAAGGCCAGGCCGGCCCTGTCTTGGACCCCAGGAACTCTGGCAGGCCCAGCTTCACCCTTCGGTCTTTCCCTCCCTCTTCAGCTGAACAATCACCTGTTCGAAGAGCTGGCCATGGACGTCTACGACGAGGTGGACAGGCGGGAGACAGATGCAGGTGCTTTCCTCTGGCAGGGCTGCCCCACAGGCCAGGGTAGCTGCCTGCGGGGCCCCCTTCTCTCAACCCCCCACCCTCTTGCTTTCGCTGTGCTGGAATCCAAAATGAAGCCACGCTTCAGATTAGCAACGGGGGAAGGGCTTTTCTGGGGGAGAGGGTGGGCTGCCCTGACCTTGCCCTCTGCTCGCACCAACAGTGTGGCTTGCGACCCAGAACCACAGCACCCTGGTCACCGAGACAACTGTGGTCCCTTTCCTTCCTGTCAACCCGGAGTATTCCTCAACCAGGAACCAGGTGTGCATCTTCTCTGGGCTCCGGCAGGAGAAGCAAGTGCCCCTTCTTCCCCCAGTTGAAAAATGGCAGTGGTCATCCATTTGGCCCTTGCGAATCCATCGGTCCACTTATCAGGCCCATGGGCGGGGGGGGGAGTTTAAAAGGGAAGAGGGGAAGAGTGAGTCTACTGCCAGGAGAGGTTAGTTTGGGGGAAGCCTCAAATCTCTGGAAAAGAGCCCACTCTGTCTCCCCATGTGCCTGGGCCTGCCCTGAAGGCCTCTGAAAAGCTGAAATCCTCCTTCGTGTTTGCAGGGGAGGCAGAAGCTGGCCCGCTTCAATGCCCATGAGTTTGCCACGCTCGTCATTGACATCCTGGGGGATGCCAAGCGAAGGCAGCAGGGAAACCCTGTTCCAAGTGCCACAGGTGAGCCCTCCAGCACCTCGGGAACTGCAGCCCAGCTCTTTGAATGGTCTCCTGTAGGCGGCAGGAGGGCCTCCCTCCCGTGATGGGTCTGGCGGCATGGAGGTCAATGTGATGGCCTAGAGGGGGTGGCAGAGGAGTGGTGAGGGCTGCGAGGGAGGGGGATTGTGGGAGTGGCAGGAGCAGTTCTGGAGGAGATGGACCTGAGACAGAGAGAAGGCCCCAAAGGGCCTTGAGGGCAGAGTGGCCCCCTGGGAGAAGGTGTAAAGAAGCCCCCTCTGCCAAGGCCTCCCTGCTTTCCCAGGCGGAGGTTGGGAGAGGCCACCGCTGCACACATTTCTCTCTCTGCTCTCAGAAAACGTGGAGCTGATCCTCAAGGCAGTCAACAGCCAGCACAGCCCAGGAGGTCACGAGGCCGACCAGCCTGACTACGACAGTGTTGCCTCTGACGAAGAAGGCGACCTGGAAGGCAGTTCAGGGAAGGCCTCTCGGCAGAAGGTGGGTGAAGACAAGGGCTCAGCCTTTGGGGGGGCTGCCTTTTGTTATGGGCCTGGACCCTCTTTGTAAAGTCCCTGGAAGGACTTGAGCAGACCGAGGCCGTCCCTGGGATCCTGAAGGGCAGGCAGCCCTCTTCCTTACCTTCTGGCAAAAGCTCTCCTGAGGCCTCTTGAACTGAACCCTGGCTCATTTGGGGCACCTCCCTCTAAGCCGGTGGCTGCGAGAGAAAGCGTGCCCCCCCGTAACAGTATGGGGGGGGGGTCCTTTCCCAGAGCCTGGATTCCGACCTGTCTGACGGCCCCATCACTGCCCAGGAATACCTGCAGGTGAAAAACGCCCTGGTGGCTTCGGAGGCGAAAATCCAGCAGCTTTTGAAGGTGAACGTCAACTTGAGCGATGAGCTGAGGACCATGCAGAAGAAGGTAGCCCTGCACTCCACAACCGGCCTGCACTGCAGGGTTGCGCCAGGCCGCTTGAACAGAATCACCAGGGGTCTTTCTGGTGCAGTGACAAGGATGCCCCCCTAGAGCAGTGGTTTCCCCCTGCTGCCTCCATGCCGGCCCCCCTCGCGGGTGCAGTCCTGGGCTCTACGGGCTGGGGACGATGGGGAATGAAATACCACCCATCTAGAGGGTGACGTTTAGGGGGTTGGTGAGTGATTTAGCTTGGAACGGGATCCAAGTTCAGATTCCAGCTGCCTTTGGTATCCCGAGGGCAGGTGGGGCATGGTCGTCTCTGCTCTTCCCCTGCTCCTCCTCAGCCTCTTTTTACTCCCCTCCCCTCCCCTGAAAGGCCAGCCAAGCCTTGCCTCCTCCCTTCCTCCGGCTGGCAGGTTGTGGCCCTCTGGGGAGTTGGACCCAGCACTCCCCAGCTTTAATCCAATGGCTCTTGGACCGCTTCACAAACTTCCCAGGGCAGTGAGCAGATCGCCAGGCAGAGCCGGCAGCAGCTGCAGATTCCTTTGTTGGTGAAAAAGAGGAAACATGGCAGGTCCCCCCCCCCCTTGAGATGGGGAACTTCAGGAAGTGCTTTGGGGGCCCTTCGGGGTCTTTCCTCAGGCGCTCTGAGAAAGTGCACACCCTCCTCTCTGCTCCCTTTTTGCCAGGGGGAATGCAAGCACGGTACCTTGGTCCCACCCTTCGGGTGTTATTTTATGTATTTCAGATACACAGAGAGGGGAGGGGGTTGAGGAGGGGGCAGGACTGAGAAATCCACCCAAGTTGCAATTCCACATCCAAGCCAGAATCTGCCTTCCAGAGCAGCAGCCTTAGGAAACGGGATTCTGTTGCTTCCAGAGGGGAGAAAATGCGACCCAGCTCCCCACCTCCATTCTCTCCAGGGTTCTTTCCATTTCTCCTGCGATGTCGGTGGGAAGATGCCATGCCAGGGCTGTGGGCAGTTCCTTTCCTTCCCCTGAATATTAAGCCTTCGTTGTCATTTGTGTGTGAACTTGACGGGCAGAGCAGGGCCCTCTTGGCAGTTGGCAGCTCCAGTCATTTGCCTCCCTGCTGGGTCCTTCCGCTTGAAGGCATTATGGGAAACGGGTTGTGCACCGGGTTCCTTGTGCCGCTGAGCCTCCTGCTTTGGCCAGTAGCTTTCGTCTCGTTTCCTCCCTCACCCCGGCTGTGGCTTTGGCATTTCCACACTTCCCCTCGCTGTTCCACCCGGGCGTCCTTCACTCAAGAAATGTTGCTCAAGCCACCGTCTCTTGTCTCTTGGAGACTTTGTGGGACCTGCTGAGCCCCGCCTGGCCCTTGAAACGCAGCTGCCAAGCTCCCCTTTGTTCGGTTTGGAGGCCTGACTGTGGCCCTCTTTAAAAACAAAGCAGAGTGGGTGGGACGATTCTACATTCCCTTCCAGCTTCAGAGCCTGCAGAGCGAAAACACGAGCCTCCGACGGCAGGCCACCACCAACACCCACCCAGCTCCGGGGGGCTCCGAGTACGCAGACGTGCCCTCTGTTCGGCGCCCCTCCTTGCGCAGCAGCCGGCCCATGTCGATGTACGAGACGGGGTCCGCTCAGAAGCCCTACCTGCCACTAACCGAAGCCTCTTACCCCGAGGAGCGCATCGCTCCCCGGCTCCAGCTCTTCCATGTGAGTAGCACAGCTGCCCTGTTGCCTTCCAGCTCACCTCCTGTTTTCTCCGCAGCAACTGCTGACGCTCCTTTGCTTGGCACTCAGCCCTACCTGCGCTTTCCCCATTCGTGGCGGTGGGGGGTGGGGGTGGGGCGGGGGGCTCTGTGTAGAAAAGGCCCCTTATTCTCTTCCCTGCTGCCCCAGCTCAGGCAGCTCCCAGGCCCTCTGCCGAGTCCGGCCTCCAGACTCCCCAGCCCACAAAATCTGGGGATTCTCTGGTGGGGGGTGGCGGGGTTTCTTGGCAAGAGGCAGGACTTGGCTGCCATTTCCCTCTGGGGGAAGAGACTGGCAGCCCATGAGGGAAGAAAGAGGGCTTGGCTGCCTCTGGCTCGGTGGTGACTCCTCCGTTCCGTCTTTCCCGTCGTTTTCCCTCCCAGATGTCCCGGCTGGAGAAACAGAGCAGCTTGCCCGAGGGGGATTACGACAACACCGGCCCTGCTCTGGAGCTGGACGAGACGGGGTAAGGGCCGATGCTTAAGTGCCTGGGACCCTCGGTAATTTGTGGGCTGCAGCTGAAGAACTGCCTTGCGGTCTTCACATGCTGGCTTGAGCCAGAGGGAGCTGGGGTTTCTCTCTGTCCTTCCCGGGGAGGGCATGGAGCAGCCGGGGGCCCAGGGGAGCCAGTCTGGGGCTGCAGCACGTGCCTTTTGGCAGGCTCATCAGGAAGGCGAGGCAGCGCAGCGGCCTTGGGCCAGAGGGCAAGGACCTTGAGGCCCACCCCAGCCCCCCCAGCTTCCCCAGCACCGAGGACGTGATTCGGAAGACGGAGCAGATCACCAAGAACATCCAGGAGCTGCTGAGGGCGGCTCAGGAGAGCAAGCACGAGAGGTGAGCCTGGGCGATCTGCGGTTTGGGATGGCTGGGAACAAGAAGGGCCCTTCCCGTGAAGATTCACCTGCCTTCTCTGCCCCCGGCAGCTACGTTCCCTGCTCGGAGAGGATCCATCTGGCCGTCACGGAGATGGCAGCTCTCTTTCCAAAAGTGAGTAACGCTCGTTTGGGAAGAAGGGAGGCCCGTAAACAGGAAACCATATTGGCCAAAACGTTCCCCGTTCCCCTTTTTTTCCAGAAGCCGCCGTCAGAGCTGGTGCGCACCCCGCTGCGGCTGCTGACCTCCAGCGCCTTCCGGCTGCACTCAGAGTGCGCGAAGGCCCTCCCGCCCGAGTCTTGCTCCACAGCTGACGTCCAGCTGGTCACCCAGCAGGTCATCCAGTGCGCCTACGACATTGCCAAGGCTGCCAAGCAGCTGGTCACCATCACCACCAAAGAGAATGCCAACTGAGCGGGCTCCGGCGCAGCCTTTGCGGTCACGCTGGAAACGGCTCAGGTTTTCAGGGGAAGCTCTTTTTTACAGGAATATTTAAAGCGGTGCGTTGCCATTTTTTTTAAAGGAAACTCAGTATTAAATTTTTTGCATGTTGTTTTTCTAAGAAGACTTTTTCCCAGGATTGCCAAAATCCACTGCCTTATTTGGTGCTCCGTATTTGCCGGCATTGAGTGCTCGCGCTGGAAGCCTTCTTGAGTCAACCATCACATCACCAGCTTACAGGACTTTTTTGCTGTTGGGAGGAGGGGAGTTTGAATCCTGCACCCGTTGTGAACTCGGACGCCCAGAGCAGAATTCAGGGACCTGCCCTGTAATCCTGCTGTGCAGTTGCTTGGCACCATTGAACCACTAGAGAGCGACCTCTCGAGATACAGGGAATGGTCAAAAGGACACCCCACTTTCCAGCTTGGTCCGCCTGGGGCCACCCAGCCACAGGAGCAGTGGCTCCACTTGGAAGGAGAAGGAGCAGCCTCCCTCCCTCCGCCGGGGCCAAGGGGCAGCCCCTCCGCTCCAGAGGCCAACATCTGAGGAAGAGGGAGGCAGGTTTCTCCCTCCTCCCCGCACGGTTGGCTCCTCATGCTGGGTTTTCTGGAAAGTGCTTTTGCAAAATAACTATGCCTTGGGAGGCCTCGTGCCTTCCCCAATATGGAAAGCTCTCGTTATCTGCTCTTTTGTCTTTTTATTTTCTTTGGGAATTCCCTGCCTTTACCGATACGGACGCATGAGGGTCTTTTCTAGAGTGCATGCAGAAGGCCTGGCCAGGAAAGGGGACCCTGTGCAGGATGGGTGGCCAAGCCTGGTCAGCTGAGTGCCCAGCCACCCCACTGGCAGTTGGGAGTGTGTGAGGGAGGGGGAGTGTTCAGGCTGCCCCTTGTGCTGGCTTCCCCTCCTGCAGGCACTGCGCCTCTGTCGCCCCATCCCCGTCTGTTACAGCCCAGGAGGCCTCTGTGTGAAGTATGAAGAAAGCACACGGCCAAGGCACAATGGCCAGTCAATGCAAAAAACATTTTTGGGGGAGAAAGGAAAGGGTTTGGAAGGTCTGGGGTAGCTTCCCCATTGGTCATCCCCAGTCGGTGTGATTTGGAAGCTTCCAGGCAGATGCAGATGCTCGACCAAGAATGAGATGACAACAGGTGAGCAGCCAACAGGCTGAGGTTCCCCATCCATTTCATGGGCTGAGCTGCCGCTACCCCTTAGGACTCGCCTGCAGCCAGAGTCCCGGGCCTGGCTTGCTCAGGACCCCCTGCAAGAATGGGGGCACCAGCTGCTTTGCGGCTGTAGAGACAGACTCCCCACCTCCATTTTAAAGCCACAACTAAGTGAAGACTCTGTGGTGTGTATGTGTGTGTGTATAAAATATCCTGCTAGTGTGTGCATATGTAAATCTTACATGTATAAAAACCAAGTGCCATAATATTTTGAATGCTGATATTTCATTGGAGCTTTTTTTCTTTCTTTAAATGTACTATTTGGGGAAGGGCATGTGGAAGTGGTGGAACAGAAATAGAACTCTCTTTGGATTGCCCATTGCTATCAGCCTTTCTGGTCAGCACCAGGCCAGAGAAAACCAATTAAAAAAGAAAAAATAGCACTTTATTGACCCTCTAAGCACCCCGCCCATCGTCTTCCGTCCTGCTTTGGCAGGGGCAGCAGCCACCAGGTAGCAGCTGCTCCTTGGGGGTGGGGTGGGGGGGAAGGCAGAAAGACCACTTCTGGGGGAGCCAGTCCACCCCTCTTCGCCTCCTAGCATTCCTGCTGGCTCCAAGCAGACTGTCGGTACTGCAGGAAGCAGCTGGCAAAGAGGTTCTCAGCCACCCAGACCCCGAATGCAGAATCTTCTTTAGCTCCAGGCAGCTTTGGGGTAGCTGTGGCACTAGGAGGAGGGCAGACGGAGGATGCCAGTCATGAGTCTGGTCTGACCTGTCAGCAGTTACATCAAATCCCCCCCCCCCCCGGGAAAGACCACTGAGGGGATACCCTCCCCGGGATGGCAGCCCTGAGCCCCAAGACCCATCCTCGCAGAGCAGCGCCCTTGAGGGCCATCCGGCCTGCAGCACTGTCAGTCCTAGGCTGGGGTGCCCTCGGGGCGGCAGTTCCCACCTTGTTGCGATAGCCGGCTTCCACCATGCGCCTGGCCTCCAGCTCCTCCAGCTGCTGGTGCTGCTCTTCTCGCACCCGGGCCTCTGTGGCTGCCTCCTGCTGGCGCTGGAGCTCTTCCTCTTGCTGCCGCTGCCGCTCCGTGAGCTGAAGGAGGAGAAGGTCAGCACGGAACGGGCCACCTCTCAACAGCCAAGCCAACCGCCGCCTGGCAAGGAATCCCCACCTGGGCCTGCAGCTCCTGCTTGCGGGCAGTTTTCCGCTCAACCGCCGCCTCTTGTTCCCGCTGCGTCAGCTGCCTGGCCTCTTCTAGCTGCTGGATCAGCTGCTCCCGGAACCTGACGGAGTCCTGCTGGGCCTGCCGGTTGTGCTCCATCTTCTGCTGGATCTGCTGCTCCCTCTCGGCCAGGACCTGTTTGGAGCCATGGACAGGATGGCTAAGCAGAGACCCGCCCCTCGTTTCAGAAGAGCAGTGTGCCTACACACACACACACACACACACACACACACACACACACCACACGGTGTGCTCACCTCTGCCATGAGCCTGTCCCGGGCCTTCCGCTCTCTCTCCCATTCTTCCTCTCGCTTCTCCCAAACCTGCCTGGCTTCCTCCCTGGGAGGGGCGAGGGAAAGAAAGGACAACGGAGATGCCCGCTGCCCTGCAAAAGGCAGCGCCAATCCCCACTAGAACCTTCCTTGCAGCCAAAGGCACTCCCGTGTATGCCGAGGGTACCCAGCGTCTCTGACCCCCCACATTTCACCCAACTACAGTGGCCTTGGAGGTGAGGACCCTGGTTCCCCACTTGACCCCTCCACCTCAGCCCTCCCCTGCCGCTCCCTCACCTGAAGATGGTCTCCAGCTCCGCCTCTCGTTCTCTTTCCAGCTGCAGCTGCTCTTCAATGACCTCCTTCATCCAGGCGACTGCGGCCACGGCTTCTTCCCGCCGGGTGGACTTCAGGCGCTGGTCCTCCTCATCCTCGTTGGACAGGGCCAGGAGGATCTGCCTGTCCTTCTCCTGGAATCACAAAGCCACCGGAAGCCACCATGGCTTGTGCCCTGCAAAGAAGGGCCGCTGCATCCCACATCGTTGGGGGAACGACTCCTGCAGGCAGGGTCCTTCCAGACCCCTTCAGCAGATGCCTCCTGTTCTGGGACAAGCTTACCAACTCTTCCTGGACCTGTTGAGCCCGTTTCCTCAGCTGCGCCTGGACCTGATGCTTCAGAAAGCGCCTGGGGAAAGACGGCATGAAATAAGTTGGCAGGCAACCCTGAGATCAACCTGGGCCAGCAGCCCCTGAAAAGGTTTGCCCTTCCCAGCAAAGCCTCCACCTTGGATCTGAGAGGAGCCCAAGACTGCAAAGCACAGCAGGCTGGGCCTTGCAGCAGCTCCGATAATGGAATAAAAATGGAATTCTGGAAGAATAGACTGGGGGTGAGCGGCTCCCTCTACCAATTAACCCCTGTCGTGTTCTCAGTGTAGCCTCCTAGACAGGCCCTCATGCGTCTCTTGGAAACTCCACGTCTGGGCGGAGAAATTCCACAGCTGGACAATGGATTCTGCCCCCCTCTTTGCCTGCCCCCTCCTCCCAGAGCATCTGGAGAGAAGCTCCCCCCCACCCCGGTGACCTACCCAAGCTCCACCTTCTTCCGCTGCTCATCCTTCAGCTTCCGCTCAGCTTCCAGGGCTTGCAGCTCCCAATGCTGCTTCAGCAGGGTCTCCTCCTCCTCCTTCAGCTTGGTGGCCTGACAAGGGGAGCAAGAGTGAGGGCCAGAAGAATTCTCTCTGACCATGACCGTCTTGGCTTTCCACTCCTCTCCTCCCCCTCCCCCGAAAGCCAGGACAGACCAGGCATGGGGTAATGGGCCGAATGAGGGCAAGCGAGCCGAGGAATCCTAATAGAAAGCAGGTGATCTGCAGATCCAGAAATGGGACAGGCTGCCCTCCCCGCTTGATGCTCCGGGATGGGATCACTTAGAGGGCTCTCAGGGGATCCACCCTTCGCGCACCTCCACGTCCCGCAGCTGGAGCTCCGCCATCTGCTGCCGCAGGATCTCGGCCTGCTTCTCCTCCTCCCGCTTCCTGCGCTGCTCCTCCTGCTTCAGCCGCTCCAGGGCTTCTCTGCGGGCTCTCTCGTACTGGTTCTCAGAGCGGACTTTCTCTTCCTGATCGGCCGCTTCTCGCTCAATTGGGAGGAAAGCAAAGCAAGCATGAAGCTCCGTCCAACCTTCTCCTGGGCAGGTACAGAGGGGGCAGGTGCGCCTACCTGTTGCTTCAGCGCCAGCTGGTCCCCCCAGGCCTCCACCACCTGCTTCTTGTGCAGCTCCGAGCTCACCTGAAGTTCAGCAGAAACACCGCATCACAGTCTGGCCCTGGTGGGCACCGGCTCTCTTCTCTTTGTCCAACCCCCCCCCCCCCGCAAGAGGCAGAGGCCCCCAGCCCGAAGGCTTCCCACCTCTCGGAGCTTCGCGCTGCTCTTCCTCCAGCAGTCGTAGAGACGATCTTCCGCCACCTGCGAGCCAAGCCCAGGGAGGAAAGGAATGCCACTCAGCCCCGTCGCCCAACCAGGGAGGCCCCCCACCGCAAGGAAAGCAGACCTGCTTCCGCCGCTCCTCCCTGGCCGAGCGCAGTTCCTGGCTCCGCTGCCGCTTCTCCTCCAGCTCGGCCTCCCCGCCGGTCCGCAGCCCCCGCAGCTCGGCCGCCAGACCCTCGCGCTCCCGCCACAGCAGCTCCCGCAGCCTCAGCCGCCGCCGCTCCAGGCCCGCCGCCGCCTCCGCCTTCAGCCGCTCCCGGCCGTGCGCCTCCATGCTGCGGAGGGAGAGGAGGAGGGAGGGAGGGAGGGAGACGTGGAGCCCCCCGCCGCCTCCTGCCCCCCCCCCGCCCCGACGACCCCCCCCCCCACGCTCACCTCTGCTGGAAGGAGCGGCGCGAGCTCCACTCGGCCTGTTTGCGGCTGCGCAGCCCGGACTGCTGGAAGGAGCGGCTGTGCAGCTCCCACTGCCGGCGCAGGCGGGCCTCCTGCTCCCGCCGCCGCACCAGCTGCTGCTCCAGGGCGCGGCTGCGGCTGCCCCAGAACGACGGGGCGGCCGGCACGGCCATGGCGGGGGGAGCCTGCCCGGGCAGGCGCGGTGACGTCACGCCGAGGCACAGTCGCGCGTCCTGACGTCACCCGCTACGCCGCTACGGGATGGTTCCGGCGCTCCCAAGCCGCGCTCGCCGCCTTCGAGGCCAGGCCCGCCGCTGCCTCCGCGCGAACTCCCAACGGCCCAGCTCCTTCCGGCGCCGCCGGGCGTCTCCATGGCAGCACTTCCCGTCTCTCTACGGGGGCCGCCCGGGGACAAGAGGCCTCGTATCGCGCGAGAGGGCGGAGCCGACCTGGGGCTCGCAGAGCTAAGAAAATGAAGAGGGGGCCTCCGGGTCTCAGCGCAGGCGGCTTCCGGGTACGCATCTCGTCCTCCGGTCCCGGGATCGACGGAGGCGCTGCCGCCGAAGCAGAAGAAGCGCCGGGGACGCCGCAGCGACGCCACGCCGGGAGCCCCTGGAACCGGGGGGGGGGGCTTCCGTTCCGCAAAGCCAGGAAAGCTTCACCACAGGCTCCACTTTGCCCCCCCGGCGCTCCGAGGTGGCCAGCCGGCCAGCCGCGCGTCCTTGATGGGGAGCCGGGGCCGATCCGAGCGGCGATGCCCGGGGGCCCCGAGGCTCTTCCCTTCGGCCGGACCTTGCAGGAGGCAGAGGCGCTCCTCCTTCCGGCCAGCCGGGCTGCGGGGAAGCCGAGTCGGCGCCGGCGCCCCCGGAGCTTCCCCTGAGCCGTCGAGGCGCGGGCAGCGCAAAAGCTTTCTGCACACGGGCAGGGGGGAGCCGGGCTCTCCTGGCGCCCGCGCCGCTCGCTTGCCGGCAGACTGCCCCTGCCCCTCCGCGGGAGGAGGCTGAGCTGCGGCCCGCCTCCCTCGGGGGCGGCGAGGCCGGGCTCCACCCCGACGAGAGCAGTTCTTCTGCCGACTCAGGCTGGCCCGGCGGGACGGCTGGGCTCCCGCCATGGCGCTGCTGCTGGAGTACGAGTTCCGGACGCTGCCGGCCGATAAGCAGATCGACACGGAGCCCTTCCTGGAGGCCGTGACGCACCTGCCGCCCTTCTTCGGTGAGTGGCCGCCCCGCAGCCCCGGGAGGGCAGCGCTGCTCAGAGATCGCGGCGGCGGCGGGCGATGGAGAGCGGACGGCATCAGCCTCCTGAGCCCGCTTCGGCCCCTGCGCTGCCGCTCTGAAGGGCTGGCCACGCTGCCTTGGCAGCCCCGGGCTTCTCCTCGCCCGCAGCCGAGCCCTGGCCAAGCTGGAGCCCCGGGGGCCACTTTCCCAGGGCCCTTTGAACCCCGTCCGTCCGTTCCCGGCTCTTGCTCGGAGGCCCCAGCGGAGGCCCCGGCCAGCCACCTGTCACGGCACTTTGCAAAGTGGCCGGTCTTCCCAGGTGCGCCAGCGGGCCAAAAGGGGGCAGCAGTTGCCAGCTCGGCTGAATTGCCACAGAGCCTTCGCAGACAAGGTGAAACTGAGGCTTTAGTGCTTAAATAAACGGAAGGGCAGAAATCCTCCAGCCCAGGAATCCCTTTTTCTTTCCAGTCACGTTTTCTTTTCTTTCACTCTCTTGAGGCGGAACTATGCTGGGGCTCCCTATGTATAAAACTTAAATTAAGCTCGGTCTTTCATGAAGGTCTGGGCTTTGGGGCATGTGCAGAGGGCCCTTGGGTTGCCTTTAAGACACCCTGTCCTGCCCCAGAGTCTCTCACGCCCCAGGTTAGGTCTTGTCCCCATCTCTTTCCCCAATTCCCCTCATCAGCCTCCCCCTCCCCAGGGGCATCTTGCTCCCTGGCAGATCTGAACCCCAAAGCAGGCTGGGGGGTGGGGGGGGTGCAGCCAAGATGCTTGTGGAAATGAGATCTCTGAGCTGTCAACTAAGGAGCGGCTTTCCTAATGGACGTAACTGACACCTCTAGAAATCCTGCCAGCTCTCCTCCTGTCCTTCTCTGCTTTCCCAACAACAAAGGTCTGGAAAGGCCAAACGAAGCACTTTCACTTGGGGAGGCCTGGGGGGGAGGGGAGGAGGCGTTCACCTCAAAACACAAGCAGGGTACCTTGGTGGGCTTACAGCGTGGAAGGGGGTCGGCTGAGCCTTTGCAAGGTTTACGTTAGTTCAGGGGGAGAGAGGAACAAAGTATCTGGAACTTGGGGGGGAGCACTCTGAGGATCCTGGGTGCCTGTGGGGGAAGCAAAGAGAGCCGCTGGGATTTCTCCCTTCCCTGCAACAGCCACTGTAGAAAAATGGACACTCCACGGATAGGGGCAGCCTACCAGGGAAGCCTGGGCACTGAGACTAGACAATGCTGCCTCATTCGGGGCCTCCTTAGATTGGCCCCCAAACTCCTTCATGAAGGGCCCCTTTAAGGCTTTTCTGGAGGCTCCAGTGGCCCCGCGAGACAGCAAGGAGTCCTTCCGTCCCCTGGTTCATGCGGAGCCAGACTCCGCATAAATGGTGAATGACTGATTAGCAAGTCAGGCTTGGCTCTGCCTAGCAAGCTGCCCCTGAATCCTTTTGGGCTTGTCGAGTTAGCCCCCCTCCCACAAAGCTGGATGGCGGGTTGCTCCCTTGATCTCGAAACCTGGGTGCCCACTGGGGGGGGGGCTTTGCCAACCTCGCTAACGGCTGAGCGATCTTGAAACCAGGCTGCCTTTTCTGCTGGGGACGTGCTGGAGACGAGTGTCGGGAGCCAAGCCTGCTGCTTCCTCCGGCCAGACTCGCTGGCTGCTCGTCTCCCCACCACAAGTGGGAGAAGCGCGCAGGGCCTGCTGGGTGTGCCAGCCTCTCCCTTCTCTCTTGTGCAATCCCTAGGGGGTGGATTGCATCACTTGGGCGCCTTCACGCTGCGCAAGGCCTGAGCCGGTCTCTGTGCCTCCAGATGGGCTTAGCTAGCAAGGTCCCAGCCCCCAGACTGGAGGGGGCCACTGGGTTGGGTGTGGGAAGGAGCCGGGGCCTTGGCTTGCAGGCGGTGCTGAGTGGCTGCCGGGAGGCGCTCAGCCATTCCAGAAATCCAGGGGGAACAAGAAGAACAGGAACAACTGGGCTGCTGTGGGATCTGGAGGAACCGGCAGCCTTGCCCCGGGGGGGGGGGGTTGTGTGGCGAAACAGGCGTCCCCAGAGCCCCCCCCCTTCCAGAAATTAAGCTGCAACTTTGTTCTCCATCCCCCCCAAACCAACTCTGAGCAAGCGGACAAAGCCTGCTTTGAAAATCTCCTGGCTTCTTGCTGGCAAACTGGTTCGCTTGGCATTCGGGAAGCCCTGCTGCACCCCCCCCACCCCCCCACTTCCATGAAGCAAACCCTGAGCAGCCTCCTCGGGACTCTCCGTCCTTTGTTTGCTCAAGCAGAGGGTTGGGCTGGGAGGTTATTCGGTTTTATTCCAACCATTATCTGGCGCCTGCATGGCAACATGGTGACTCTGGGTGGCTAAGAATCCACAAAAGCCCACTGGAAACCCTCCATTAAAACATGTCAACTTGCATTAACGATACAATGTTTATGTGCCTGATAAACCATCTTAAAAGAAAAAAAGGAACCCTCCTCACACCCCACCTTCAGCACACCTCAAGGGAAAGGCATGTAGTCAAGCCCCCCCCCCAAGGCTGACAGGATGGGGGGGCTGTTTTGAAGCCCCAAAGCCCCCCAGCCTCTTAGAGGAAGGGCTAAGAAAGGTGAGGTGTGTGTAAGGCTTAAAGGGGCCTATTTCTGACTCAGCAGCCTCCCTTCCTGTGGCTCCAGCCTCCCTGCAGTGTAGGTTAAGCCTAGGGGAGTAGGAGACGGCAAGATGGAAGGATGAGCTCTTAAAGGCCATCTAGCCCACCCCCAGGTCTGGCTGCCCAAGCACCACTTCCCCGGTTTTTTCCTGAGGATGCCCAGCTGGGATGAAATGCCTTTCCAGTGCTGAATTAAACCCTCCCATCATCCAGATTTCATCACTCGCCGTCTGAAGACGCTCCTTGCCCCCAGAGCATTCCAGGGGGTGGATGGGGCGGTTCCTCTTCCCTCCTGCCCTTGGCTGGGGCCCTTTTTCTATTTGAAGTGTCACCCCTGGTCCCCACCTCCGGGCCCTGGGCACCCCTTGGCAGGCTAGATCGGGGTCCCACCACTGCTGAATGCAGATGCCCCCCTGACCTTTGCTCTCTCCTCCGCAGATTGCCTGGGCACCCCACTTGTCTACGCCCCAGTGAAGGCGGATCTCTCCGGGAACATTAAGGTAGAGAAAGGGGCCGCTGGGTTTGAGCTGGGATCCACCCGCCGTGGGCTCTCTGTGGCTATGGTGGCTTGCAAATTAGGGCTCTCTGTGAGCCCAGCTCATGGGAAGAGCCCTGGAAAGGGCTGCGCGGAGCTTCGGCTCCATAAGAAGCAGCATCAGGGGGGCTGCTAATCAGAACGGGCCCCTGCACCCCCCCTCCCTCCCTCCCACCACCTGGACCCAAGCCACCCCCAGGTCAAATTTATGATTCTCTGCTGGTTCACTTTCAGAAAATACGGGCGGTTTACGAATCAAACCCAACCAAGTTCAAAACCCTTCAGAACATCTTGGAAGTGGAGAAGGAAATGCACGGGTCGGCTTGGCCGAAAGTGGGGGCCACCTTGGCCCTCATGTGGCTGAAGAGGTGAGGGGGTGACTGCATAAGCTGCCTCTGCTCCTGAGGGGTGGCTGGAGGACCTCACGGGGGCCCAGCTCAAGGAGGGAGGGCACTGGCAGCCTCTCAGAAGCTTTTCTCCTCCTCCCCCCGCCCCCCCAGGGGACTCAGGTTCATCCAGGCCCTGTTGCAGAGCCTTTGCGATGGGGAGCAGGACAAGGACAACCCCAATCTGATCCGCGTGAACGCCGTCAAAGCCTACGAGCTGGCCCTGAGGAAGTATCATGGCTGGATGCTGCAGAAGCTTTTCCTGGTGAGCCTCCGAGGGGGAGGGGGAGGAGGGGGCCACCAGCAGAGAGCCAGCCTGCCTGGGAAGGCTGGGGGAACCTGCGGGAGGGAGGCAACACCCCTGGACACCCCCTTCTTCAAAGACTTTGGGGGTCTTTAGGACTGGACGATTGTAGCTCTGGTCCTGCAGGTGGGATATTTGCAAGGCCGGCCGAAGGCAGAGAAGCCGAAGGGGCCGCCCCCTGACTCGCTTTCCTCCCCAGGGCTCCGTCTATGCTCTCCCCTACAAGTCAGACTTGCTGAAGGCCCTGGAGAAAGGCAAGGAGGTCAAGGAGGAAGAGACCTTTGAGAAGATCCACCAGTTCTTGTCCAAAGCAACACCCATCCTCGACACCATCTACGAGATGTACACAAAAATGAACGCGGAGCTGAGCTACAAAGCTTGACCAGGCCCTCCCCTCCTTTGCCTCCCCTCCCTCTGCTCTGCAGCCCAGCAAGTGCCTTCCAGCCCTCGAGGTCACCTATACAGAAGATCTGCAGCAGTTCTAGGAGGCTGAGCAGCCACGGAAAGGTTTCTCCACTCTGGCCCAGGCTGAGGGGCTTTGATGCTCTTTTGTGGCCTTTCTCTCGTGGCCTTTCTACTTCTAAGGACATAAAGGGGGGGCAGCAGCCCCTCCCTGCTCACTGGAAGGGAGAACCCGTCTTCCTCTGAGCTTTGGGCAGCGCACAGGAGACACCAGTTGCGCCCCAGGACTGACTAGTGCCCAAACGTCCCACGAGCCGTGCCAGGAGGGCGTGTAAAGCAGGGAAGCCTCATCTCGGGGAGCTTCACCCCTTGGGAGGCGGCTTCCTGGCAGTGGGGCCACGGTGGGCTTCCCTTGCTTTCTCCTGGGTGGCCTTTTAACTTCTCTGCCTCACCTGACAAGAGCAGCCGGACTTGAGTGACTTTTCGGCACGACTCTTGGGGTGAACATCCATGCGGCCTCTTTGCACAACGGATTTCTTCAGGGAACTGACTCTGGCTTAAAACTTGCTGTCATTTTCTGGGGCATAAAAATTATGCCAAGCCTTAATGGTGTTGCTACTGCTTGATGCCTTCTGTGGATGGTTTTAGGAAACCCAACAGTTGAATTAAAATTTTATGAGAGAGACGTGCGATTTATTTTGGTTTGCCCAAAGAAGACTCGGTGGGAGGGGCAGCTAAACCACCCTGGCGGGAATTATGGAGGTTGAGTGTGGGTGTTAGGAGCCAATATTTATGTAGATGAATATTGCTTTAATTAATGCACCCAAACTATTTTGAAAAGACCTTTTAGGGCAGCTTATTTGCAACTCCTGAAGGGAGAAGGACCTTCTCGGCTGGTCCTGTGGCACCCAGTAGACAGTGGGCATCTTGGGAAGGGTTGGGGGGTTTGCCCATCATGCTCACTTACTAGGCCAGCTGGACTCCCAGCTGGCATTTTTCAGAAGCTGGAATTTGCTGCATCACACCAGCAGTGGGCAGCCTTTCCTCACAGATGGACCAGCAGACAATTGGTGTTGGGGGGGGGGAGAGAATGACTCCGGCCACTTCATCCCCACCCAGGGAGGGAGGGGTCAGCAGATACAGCCCTCCCAAGTTTTGCAGAAGGAGAAAGAGTTTATAAGGGGGGAAAGGATCCCTTTGGGGATGAGGGGGCCATAGGGGGGGGGCTGAGTCCTGGGATCAAAACAGCCCTCAGTCATATTCCTCTCCCCACTTTAGGGTGTCCAACCCACTGAACTCCAACAGAGTGTTGTCTCAAGGCCCCCCTAACTGCAGCCTCCCCCCATTTGCTTTTCAATTACCCCCCCACCCCATTAGCTCCTTGGCATTCCTGTCGTCCTTTGGTCAGGGGTGCAGCCCAGGCCTGTTCAGGCTGGCCGGAAAAATTCCTGCGTCCAGCATAAATCTAAGCCCTTGGCTGTTCCCAGCTAAAGCCATCAGCTCAGCGGGAGGGAGGGAGGGAGGGAGGGAGGGGCCAGCCGGTAGGCCCCGAGACCCAGCGGGGCTCTATAGTCAGGGAAGGAAGGTGGCCCTTCGCCCAAGGAGCCCAGAGGAAGAAGGTGGAAGGGCTGCAGTTTCCCACAACCCTCTGGGGCCTGGGCCTTTGGGGCCTGCAGCCATGTTCTGTCCAGCAATTCAGAGTGGCCAGGAAGATGCTCCCACTCATTGTGGCAGGGAGTTCCGTAGTTTCTTTGAAGAGATGCTTCCAGGCTCTCCTGTCCTTGGATTCTACACCTGCCAGAATCCTTCCTCTCTATTCGCTCCTCACAGAGGATGATTTTAAAGACCCCCCCTCCCCCCTTCAGTGTCGCAACTTCTACTCCTTGGGAGTCACAATCTCTTGCCAGCTTTCTGCCCACCTGCTTGCAAGTTTTTGGCAGAAAATCACTTTTTTGTGCCTTTAATAGCTTTATTATTTTTGTGAAAATAATAAAGCTATTAAAAGGCACTTTTTAGTCCCACCTGGGCTCCTCTTTGGCAAAAAAAAAAAGTTTTTGCCAGGTAACAGGCAGTTAAGAGCTGGGTGTGTGCACAAAACTTTTTGAAACATTTGCAGGAAGAGGAGAGCCTCATTCCACTCCTTCTTCGTTTTCCCACCTGCAGGCGATCTTTTCTGGAGCAGCCAGCAAGAGTTTGGTTTGGTTTGGGGGAGGGGATTTCCTTCCACAGGGGAGACTCTCAGCTGCCTCTGGGCTTGTCCTGAGGTCAAAGATTTCAGAGGGCGGAGAGGGGCCAGGGGAGCCATCCGTGAAAGCGGGAGGGGGGTTGCTCTTGTGAACACCTGGAACGTTCCAGCAAGTGCCCCCCCCGGGGACAGACGTGGGGGGGATCTGACGAGTGACGTCTCCGCAAGGATGGTCTGGCTAGCTCGGGGGCGCAAGAACTCCTTCGCTCCGCGGTGAGGGGAGGGGAGCGGGGGTGGGTCGTTTCTCTTGCGCTCTGCAGTTGGGCTTCCTCTGCGCGGAGCCGGAGAAGAAGCTGCACTCGCGGGGGACCTGAAGCCAGAGCAGCCCGGGCGGCGCCGGGAGATTTTCGGCGGGTGAGACTGGAGACCCGGCGCTAAGGTGAGCAGGGCGCGTCCGGCAGGGGTGGAAGGGGCTGGGAGGGGGTCGGGAGGAGGAGGGGCGTGGCTCCGCCCCCCCCCCCGGCTCCCGCTGGACACGTCCAGGGAAGGCGGCTCCAGGAAGGGCCGTTTGGCTGCTGCTTCTGATTCTCAGGCCTTGACCTCTCCCTCCACTCTCCGGGACTCGAGCGCCCATAATCCCCAGCCAGGACAGCTAAAGGAGTCCAAAGAGACCCAGGCGGTTTCCTTCCAGAGCCCGACTGGGGGAAGCGCTGAGTTGAGCTGGGCTCCCCGGTGCCTCTGTAGCCTTTCGAGGTCAGAAGAAGAGAGATTAAACGGGGGCATTCAGCAAGGCGCAGCTTTGGGTCCTTGTGAGGCCACCTATCCGGACCAGCCTCGGAGGCCAGTGCCGGACTTTGGGGAGGTGGGATTCGCCTCCTTGCGGTGCCTTTCCCGGCGAGAACTGTTCGTTGCAGTCGGGGGCAGAGATTGAAGAGCTACCGCCGCCGCCGCCACTCAAACGGGCAACGTGGATTAAGAGAGCTTCCCCCGTGCGCCCCCCCCCACCTCATAGTCCCGGAGCTGAAGGTGCCAGCCATGGGCTAGGTGAGCAAACCCCCCCCCCTTGGACTCTGGTCCTGCCGGCTTGGAAATGTGCTTTGTTCCTGACTAGCGACCGTCGGCACTTAAGAGCATAAATCAGATTCCTGTCCAGTTTCAGCTCCGATGCAGGCGAGTCCCCAACCCCCTGTCCCACTCGGAGATTTTTGCTCTGCCCTTCAGGGTCCCTTCCACTCCGGGTGGGGCAGAGGAATTACAGAAGGAAACTGGCTTGGCCCTGCAGGGACCCTTTTCTCTCCCCTATCAGGGATGGGCAGGATCGGAATTCACTCCCCGTGTTTTATGGAGTTGAACTCCTGCAGCTCCACAGATTCAGTTTTGGCTCTATCTTTGGGCGGGACAAATGGTCCAATTTTGCCGGTATTCCCCTTAACAGCACCACCTTTGAAGGTGGCAAGATGAATGCAGGGATGCAACAGCAGCTCTCTTCTGGAACATCTCCTTCAGACCATGTGCCTTCCCACCCACCCCCTCCAGAAACCGAAGGTGCCCAGGCTTTGGGCTCTGCTGGCTGACCTCCAGCCCTTTGGCCTGGGGGGGCTCTTCTCTCTCTCTCCAGGGCCCCACTGGAGCTGTTTGGGCATGTTGATTAATCCTTTGAGCTGTGAAATTCTCCAAACACTTAAGCTGCAGGGCCGCCAGGGCCCCCAACCCCCCCAAGACTGAGGAAACACATTTTGGAGAGGAGTCCTGTGCTCTGTGGACTCTGGCAGGGCGGAGACCCCAGCGCTGCCAGCGACACAACCACATTAGAGGACTTCCGGCCAAGTTCAGAAACATGCAGCTTCTCTCTGTCCCGGCTTGGTTGTCCCCAGCTGCCTCTGGGGCTGCAGGAGCTGGGCTGGACCGCGCCTCCCTCTGCCTGGGGAGACAGGGGTTCCAGCCTGGATCCCCCTCCCCACCCCAGCCTTCCAGCACAGCAACACCCCCAATAAGACAAGGGTTCTTGTTTTGGAAGGGGGAGGCGGCCCTCTGAGCGAGGCCTCCCTCCCAATGGGGCTGGCAAGGAAGCTCCTTGTGGTGATGCTGCAAATGGAAGCTTTGGAAAGCTGTGGTGGGGCAACTCAATCGGTTCCCAAAATAGGGCTGGGGGAGGGGAGGGCCTCTCTTGCACACTGCCGCTTTTTGTTGTTAGTTGCGAAGTTGTGTCCGACCCATCGTGACCACCTTCCTCCAGGCCTTCCTGTCCTCTACCATCCCCCGGAGTCCATTTCAGCTCACGCCGACTGCTTCAGTGACTCCATCCAGCCACCTCGTTCTCTGCCATCGTCCCCTTCTTCTTCTTTTGCCCTCCATTGTTCCCAGCATTCGGCTCTTCTCCAGGAAGTCCTTCCTTCTCATCAGGTGGCCAAAGGATTTGAGTTTCCTCTTCAGGATCTGGCCTTCCAAAGAGCAGTCAGTCAGGGTTGATCTCCTCTAGGACTGACTGGTTTGATTGCCTTGCAGTCCGAGGGACTCGCAGGAGTCTTCTCCAGCACCAGAGTTCAAAGGCCTCCATTCTCTGGCCTTCTCAGCCTTCCTTATGGTCCAACTTTCACAGCCATCCATTGCAACTTGGAAAACCATAGCCCTGACTATATGCACTTTTGTGGGCAGGGTGATGTCTCTGCTTTTTAGATTTGCCATAGCTTCCCTCCCCAGGAGCAAGCCTCTTTTCATTTCTTGGCTGTAGTCCCCATCTGCCACTTTTGGGAGGAGCTAAAGGTTCAGGGAGCCCAGGGGGACCCCCGATTCCTTTAAAGCGCTCAAAAAAGGACCGGAGAAAATTCGTCGCCCATGGTGGCTCCTTGGGGGCTGGAATCCAAGGCAGGACGGGGAGGTTGGCATTTAACCAGGGGGCTTCTCTTCCCTGAACTGATCCCATCCCCCCCAAACAATTGCCACATCTTGTGGTGAAGAGTTCCACCATTTAATTCTGTGGCCAGCGAAGGAGCTGCTGGGTGAAGACGGGCTGGCCAGAGAGCTGAGGGGGGCTGCCTGCCGGAGGAGGCCACCTTCTCTCTTGTTTGTCCAACTAGTGATTTGTAGTCCTTTGATCTTGGAGGAGGAGACCTCCCCCACCCACCCAGCAAATTCCTGCTCTGAATAACTTTGCCTGAGCTCTGCTCAACTCTTGACTTACTGGGCAGTGAGGAGCTGGTCAGCTTCCGAGGGGGGGGCGCGGGGGAAGTGGGGGGTGATATGCCTGAAGTTCTCATGACTTTCCACAACGCTTTGTTCCCCGCAAAGACTTTTACCATTCAGGCTGCTTGTGGGACTTGTGTTGTGACTTGGACACCAAAGAAACAACTTTAGTGAAGTTTCTATCGGTGGTCTCAGTCTCAAAGGATTTCCTGAATGCCTTAGACAAGCAGCTGCATCAGAACTGGGAGCTCCTCTGGCCCCACCCAACCCAACCAGCCTGCTATGGCTTGGCTTCCTCTTCTCCCAGTCTCTCCC